TGACCTTTAAAACGCGAGCTTTATGCATTTGTAGCTCTTCCAGTTATGGAGTAATAGCCTCTCAAAGAAACCTATGGGTTTTGACTTCGGAAGCTTAATTCTTTTCGGAAATCAGCTAAATTTAATTATAATGTTCGTTATACAGAGTAAATTAATTAATAAAAAATCGGGACCAATACCTTGGTTCGGAGGTTCGGTATAAAAGAGCTTAGGCTGTAGTAAATTTTTTAGGTCTTTTTCTATAAAATTTGACCCAGCTGCGGCAGTAACCTATCTATATAGTTTTGTGGGGTCTTGAGTCAGGCAGGCAGGCAAAAAAAACAAAGAATTTCATGAATGCAGGCAGAGAGAGCCTATTTGCAAAATTCTGGCCAATGAAATGAAAATCACGTAAATCAAAAATTTCTAAAACGCGCAAGGATATTAAGAAAAAAAAAAAAAAAAAATGTCTTGCTTGCGCTTGAAAATTATCACAAATGTTTTGTATATGCTCGAACACTAGGAAAAATCATTGTTTAGTTGTGTTGAATCAATAAATGTACAATATATTATATTTATATATGGATACACTTTCGTCTAACACTCACTCACTAATCACTTACACTGTTTATTACTTACCTGAACAACTTACATATTTTGCTTCAAGAATTTCTATTCTTCAGAAGAAGAAGAAGAATAATAATTTATTATATTTTAATTTTAATCGTTTTTAATACATAATATTTATTTCACTCTAGCTATACTATGTAACATTTCTTCTTTTGTAATTAGATGACATGTTTTTTCAATTAGACCCAATAAAGAATTGATATTATTTGACCAATCATTTAAAACTTGGTTTGGATCTTTAGGTTCCGCAAAAGAAACAATTCCAGCTGGTCGATCAATCTTTGCATAAATGGTTTTGGAAACCACAAGTTTTGATAAAAAGTCTTCAGTATCCTATTATTAATCAATCAAGCAATTTAATCAGTCAATTGATTCAATGATTTTTAAAATTTTCTAATATAAAATATATTTATTTACTTGATCATTAAGATCCAATAATTGAGACAATCTTTTTGTTCTGATTCTTTTATAATATTTTGCTACAACACGTATATTCTATATATATATATATATAATATTAAATTAATAAACTTTATAACAATAAAAATAATGTAATCATTTTTCTATTTTACGTACATGTTCAATCACTCGTTTATGTAAGTCTTGCCAATGTTTTTCTCCATGTTCATCATTTTGCAAAAAGACCGATGTTTGTCTCAATGCTGTACCATATGTTTCTTGGATCATAGACCATGGAATCAGTTCAGGTGTTATAAAATGCTTGGCAAGTTCACTTTTTTTTTTAATTAAAAAAAAAATATATAATTAATCAATAAATTAATTTAAGAACAAGATTAAAAAATGATAATTTAATAATAAATTACTGGTGTAAAGCCAATTTGACAAGATTAGGATCTTTGTATATACGATTCAATAAATCGCTTTGCTCATTATCATATGGCGAAAGAATAATAAAATAAATTACATTTTCTAAAACCTATTAATTAAAAAAAAATTTACTTTTTAATAAATAAATAAACCAATCAACCAATCACTGTACAAAAATTCATGAAAGTTAGCAAGAAGATCGTAAGGAAATTTCCATTTTTAACAAGATCTATCACAAGTGTAACGTACAAACACTAATATTGCGAATTATAGTGTAACCGGTAACCTTTTTTCATAGCCTATGTTCGCGAATCAGCGTGACCTGTGACATTTTTCTTTGCGAATTATAGTGTAACCGGAGACCTTGTTTTTTCCTTATTAATGCGAATATAAGGTGGGCGGTGTCATTTTTAAATTTTAAAGTACCTTTCGAATCATAGTGTTGGCGGTGACATTCAATAGAGTTTTTCCGGTCCTATTGTTTCCTAATAATATTCCATATACATGTTAGCAACATGTAATCATATGTGGTTGCAACAATAAATTATTATTCATAATTGATGATAATGTGACAATGATTGACACTTTCTCTATAACGAACGTTCTCTATACTAATACCGAATGAATTTCTCGGTCCAAGGGGTTCGATATAGAGAGTTTTGACTGTATTAGAAAATGCAATGTTAGTGAAAAATCACTAGATTTGCAATCTATATCAAACCGTGATTTTTGTATGTAACCTTCTATATAGTTTTCATCTATACTCAACAAATTTGAAATATTATGTGATCTACATGTTGGATTTTAAAAAACCGCCTTCATTCAATTCAGCTTTAAAAAGGAGTCAATTCATGTAAAAAAAAATGTCTCGATTTTTTTTTTTAAATGTTACAATATTTTGAATTGCATGATCAATTTGGTCGTTAATCTTTTTCATTATAATAGTAAAGAACTCAATTTCAAAATACTAAGGCCGGCCAATTTCTAGTTTAAGAAAAACAGCCAATAATAAATAATAAGTTTTGAAGCTTTGAGCCATGACTATAAAACTCATCAGATAACTTTTCAGTATTTTTGAAGCTGAATGCAATTAATTGATTATCACCGTAATCTGCCTGCCACCATATAAAAATCATATGTTGATCATCTGGATCATCTGATTTTGATACGTGTAACTAATGAACCTCATTGATGACAACATAGATTTGCAAAATTAAAGAATTTGTTCAAAAATGAGAATTTTTATTACAGATGAAATTATTCATTGTGAGTAAACATTCATTATTTATATCGTAGATCTTTTTTTTTTAATTTTTTGATTGTTATTGATAGACATAAATCATTGAAAAACATTGATTCTAATGTTCATTGTTTTATTTAACTATGAGAAACAGGGCTAAAAATAGTAATTTAAAAATCTGGATTTTTAACTCGGAAAAAAAAAGTTGCAGGATATTTTTCCTTTTTTTCTTGTATCCGCATAAAAAAAATTTTAATATTTAGAAAGGAACAATCATCTTTTGAATTTCCAAAATAAAAATATTGACTCAATTTAAGCCCTATTTCAAAAAGACTTCTATTAAATTATGTGTATTTTATTTTCTTTATTCAAAAAATAAATTATAAATAAGTAGTTATAGCACAAGAATTTAGATAATTTGACTACTGAAATTGTGACGAGACGTTTATAAGTGAAACAAATATTATGAATCAGATATAGAAGGTTCAGATGATTTGACAATTCAGGTTCAAATGATGATACTTCAAAAGTATCGAATAAAAAAAGAAAAAATAGTGAATTAAGTATAAATCGTGTTAAAATGTAAATAAAAAATGCATTTAAAAAAAAAACAGAAGTTCCCGGTATGTATAGTTAAACATATTAATATATAAATGGTTAAAATATGACAGAGAAAAAAATCAATTTGCAGGAAAAGGTGACAAATAAATATAATTCATATAATTGATATAATGAAATGATTTACTAGATGACAAATGAAGATATTCCAATTTCCAAACTTCCAAGTCTTATTAACCTAGGTCATACTCTTCAAGTTCCTGATCTATTTTCTTTAAATAACACCGTTACATATGAGAATAAAAATTTGGACAAATATTTTGGAATAAAATTTAGGCAAATAAAACTTATTATTACGTAAATCACAAAATTTTCTTATTAATTTGATATAAACCTGAACTCGTTAGGGAATTTAGTTGGTCTTTTAGATGGGTCAACATCCCAACACTTTTTCATCATTTTTGCGTATTCTTTTGGCATATTTGATAAATTGGTAGTAAATCTTACAAATTTCAATAATTAAATGATGGTCATGTGCTTTATTATCAAAAGGTGGATATCTTCCACATCAACATTCCAATGCTATATACATCTGATTATTTTGTATTTTGCTTGTTTTTCGAAGAACTTCAGGTGCAATATATGATATAATTCCATATATTTTGTTTGATGATTCATCATCAACTGGCCCACATAATCCTAAACTGTGATATAACAGCCATATCTTGTACTAGAATTAAGGTTGTGGGCGAAACTCGTCCAGAAATCAATCGACTGAGTTTCGACAGGTACACATTAATTGTTTATTAGAGTTTCGGCAGAGTTTTGACAAGGTATATACTAATTGTTCATTAGAGTTTCGACAGAGTTTCGACAGTCGTTAAGAGGTATCAGCAAACAACCATAACTAGAATATTACCATTGTGTAAATCACAATGTATTAAATCTTTTTGATGTATATCATTTAATGAGTCACATAAATATTTAAATATTGTAATTTTATCTTTAAAGTTAAATTTGAATGATTTTTTTGCAAATAATTTCTTAAATTTCCTTCTGGAAGATAGTTTAGAATCATTGCATAGTTGCTATTTTCTGGGAATTTAGTTATACCATAACAGGAAACAATACCTCCAAATTTAATTTTAATGCTTGAGATTATATGAAAATCAATTAATATATTTTTTTTTAATTTAAAATAATTACTACTGACCTCTTCAAAAAAATTTTTCCCCAATTCATTTGAATTATTTAGTAGTTTTTAATGCTACATCATGAGATCCATAATGATTAAATTCTTTTTGTTTTCATCATAGTCAAATATATGCCTTTTTTCCATGTGGCAACATAAATACTACCAAAACCTCCTTTAGTTAAATATTCCACTTCTTCGAATTGATCAAATAGAATCCATTCAATAATTTGCGTAGGAAGAGATGAGAGCTTTTGACATTCTTGAATAAAATTATCAATGATGATATTTCCTGATGACCATGTATCAAAAAGCTTCTGTAAATGTAAACAAATACAGTTTTCACAAAATCTGACTGAATATCTGCATAATTTGCACTTGTTACATTCTTTTACTTCACCCCATTCATGAATTGTATTATCTAATTCGAATACATAAACAAATATTTCTTTACAATATTCCTTTTCATTCTTTAAAAGCTTATCATTTTCAGCTACAAGTGATAAAAATGCAGCCTTTTGGATCTCTCTGATAGATGTGTTTGATGAAGAATTATCAATTAATTCAGAATAAGTTCTGTACACAAAATCTTTCTGTCTGATGATAATGACAATAATAAACTTTCAAATGACATTTTTTTTTAGTTTTATTATTATTATGAATTGTTGTTTTCTTATCTTCTTTGGAGGTATTATTATTTATTAGTATGATATAATAAAAATAATGTTTTAATCTATGAAGTTATACACAGCCTGCACTAAATAAAATAACAGATAACTAAATGTGTGTGAGGGTCCTTTGTTTTGGCTAGTTTTAAAAATAGTCAAAAATTATAATAAACGCGAATTTAATGGAAAAATTTTTAAGATCAATGTAATTTAATAATAATGATAAAGATGGTATATTAATAGGGATAATGATTGGATTTAAATCTTTGGGAAGAAAAACGTTGAAAGGCAAAATTTTTTTAAAAAAGTAACAAGATAAAGATGATGATGATCTAAAAGAAAAGGAAAAGGAAGCAATTTAATATTTATTAAGATCGTTTTCAAGTATGCAATAAAAAAAATATCATAAGTAATAATGAAGTCATAGTGACAATTAAAAGTAAATACAAATATTTTGCTTGCCTACTCACGTTATACTGTAGATGTTATCAATTGAAAATTATTTCTTCCGTGGTAAGTTTTTTTTTGGTTATATAGAATGTTCTAAATATCACAAATAGAAAGTATTTTAAATGTAAAAAAATGAGAATTAAAAGTAATTTTCACTTAAATTTTTACCCTGGTAATAAAAAGATTTCTCTATTTCATGATTTTTTTTATAAATTAAGACTTGAGTGAAAATTACTGCAATTAGTAATTAGCTAAAGAACTTTTCAAATAAAAAATAAACATTTAAATAAAGTTGCATGTTTCATTCTTTATATTAAAAAAAAATTTAGATCCAAAAATTAAATTATGTATAATGATGACCTTATTCATCAAGTAAAAAATACAACAAATGAATTAAATTGAGCCTTAGCAACAAAAAAATAATTTATAATTTACATTTTTGGACCAATTACCTTGTACAGAGAATGTTGAATGATTAAAAAAATCGATAACAATAGTGATAAAGATAAGATATGATGGTATAATTGTAGCGTTGAGCAAAACTACTTTGTGGAAGTTTTGTTGCATGCTCCATATAAAAATTAGGAAAACATCATAATGATACTATGCAAATTTCATGATTTCGTTTCACTTTGTTGCAGTATACCCATGTGTCATGTGTTATATATGTTATATTTTTTATTTGAGGTAAAATTTAAGATCAATTGGTTTTTTTTTTTTACACAAAAATTATTCATCAGCAACCTTTTTTTTTTATGCGTTTTCTCTTTCAGAATACGTGTCATCGGGTTCCATAAATACTTCACATAATACTCTGTTAATCCCATGTCTTCTTAAAATTTCCAATGCACTATTTGCAGTAATTTTCATATGACCAGCACTTAAATGCGTGATGCCAAGAGATTTTCTAAAACATCAAGGTAAATTTTTTTTTATTTGTATCTAAATTAATGATTTGTATTATATTAAAGACGAGGAAAAAAAATATATCTTTTTCTTTTACTTACTCTTGACAATCTTTTATAAAGTTTCTTTCATCATGATTTATGGGATATCTGGCTGCTTTCTATTAAAATAATTAAATAATAAATCAATGGATGACGATAAAAAAATTGAAAGATGGAGTAAGTAATTTCAAATAAAACATTAAAATCAGTTTATATATACCATTTCATCCAATTCATTTGACAAGTGTTTACTAAAATGTTTATATATTTATATAGAGATAGAGATTGAGATATTGAAAAAGAGACGGATAAGAGTTTTTAAAATAAATAATATAATCAATTAATTACCTTATGGTACTTTCAGACATCTTACTGTTGCTACAGTTTGCAATATATTTACAAACATGATTTCTTAAACAAAATCCAGCGGCACTATTTTTTATTTGAAATATAAGCAATTTTTGATCTTTATGTCCACTTCTCGTCTTTGTTTTTTTTTTTAAAATGCATGTTAAAAAAAAAGAATAGATTTAATATTTAAGTACACAAGAGTATATATATATATATATAATGATTACCTCCACATCATCTGATCTGCTTTCGTAGCTTGATATAGAATAAAGTTTTGGATTGATTTTCTTTTCAAGTTCTAAATATTTGTATAAATACATGTTTATTTTTAGTGAAAATTTCTTTAAGAATCGAGAAATAGCATTCATTCATTATATATAGATACCTGTTTTTAAAAAAGGGATGAACATTTCTGGTGAATTATAATGTTCTATCACATCAACTCCAAATACAATATCCATGTCCAATCTATTCATTACATCTTCATAATACTCGGCTAATGATGGAGCTTGCATAAGCTTATCAACTATAAATAAACAAACATAATTATGTGATTATTGTACTTAATAATAATAATGTGTGTGTATATATGTGAATAAATACCATATGATTTCAATAAATCTGACAAAGTATGAAATAATTAGTAGTTAATACGTGTAATATTAATAGATATAGATAGATAAGCGTATTATTACTATAAATACCTTCAAGTTCAGATCTTGAATTTTCAAGAATATCACATTGTATTTCTTCAATACGACGTGAAGAAACCCATCCTTGAAGTTTATCTCTAGTCAAACGTAAAAATCGAACAATCGTAAGGTTTAAACTTTCGAGTATATGAAAATTTTTATCTTCTACATGTAACCTTTCAACGCGTTGTATAAATTTCATTAGGTCACATTGACGCCAAGTATGAATAGTACTAATAAAATATTTATCTTCCATATTATTTTAAAATTAGGAAAAAAAAATTGCATATATTAATATAAAAGAAAGACGCGCGACAAGTGTCGTGTAACATTTTAAATAAAAAATTTGCTGGTTTTTTGTTTATCCAATGTTCATGTTTTTTTCAAATATCAATGCTCGCTAATTTATTTTTTATTTAAATTTGTTTTGAAAAATTCTTTCCGCGCGAGTATAAGAAAGAGACAATCAAAAAAATATAATTTCCACAATTGAATAAAATTTAATTCTTAAAAATTTTTTACATACACAAAATATCTACAAATTTATTTTCACCGTGAAATATAAGAAAATCTCTCTCATTATCAGGAGGTTCTTTTGGATTTATTATTGCAATCGGTATTCTTTGGTTTATGTTAATTTAAATTATTTTATTTAAATTTTGATTAAGGCTCCGAACGAATCGGCGAAACTGAATATATACTAATATTATATTTATTATTTTATATGACTGAATTTAAAATTTAAAATTATATCAATCAATATAACAAGCAAGTGCTTTAGAATTCTTAATATCAATTCAAAGAAATTGTCTGATCGAAAAAAACTGCTTTGTAAAACATCGTCCACAAAATAGTCACAACCACAAATAAACACACTCTGGTGTGAAATAACTTGAACAAAGATTTAGATTAAAATAGTCCTGATTTTGTCGCTTTTAAAAAGTGAGTTGCAAAAGCATAGTTGAAAATCCACTTGGCTGATGATCTTTCAAATTAATTCATTGTTTTATAAGAAAGAACATTTATCTGAAATTGTTATTTTTATAGCTTTTATCCAACAAATATTGAATTGACTTTAACAGTTAATAGAAACATGGATATTGCTTTTTAACAATGATTTTGTTAAACATTTTGTTGAGTAAATGAATGAATGCCATTGATTTAATTGACAAAAATAGGGGAATAGGAAAAAAACTCATATTGTGCTTATTAAAGTATTTTCTTTGGAATGAATGGTTAGTTTATTTAAAAAACATCAGATTGTTTTTGTTGATATTGAATGTTTAATTAACCAATAAATGTAAATAATAATAATAATAATAAATGAAGCTTTAAAAAAAAAAATAATAAAATCAAATTATTTTTCTAATAATTTTAAAAAACTTAAATCTCATTGCTTAAAATGAATTTTTCTCAAAAAATGCCAGAGTCAAAGTTGACTGGTCCTTGTTCTATTCATAATTGTGATAAAAATTCTAACAAATTTATCTCATAGAGCTATAGAAAAAGCAACTATTAAAGGAAATCTTCAAATATATCCTTATTTACAACATGATCCACAAGTTTGTTTTCCCCGTTACATGGCTATTAAATAAATATAAATACTCCCCTGTTTAATTACTACCAATTAATACTAATTATTACAGGTGCCACTTAATGACTGCTATATAGTTATAATAACTTTAAAGTTCCTACATGGTTGGTTGCGTTATATAGGAAAGGAAAACTGTACTTTCTTGTATCAAGATTGTGTATGTTAAACATACTGTTTAAACCAGATGTAATATTTTCATAAGAAAAGACTGTTCTATAAAAGTCCCTAGTGAATGCGATTTAATGCGATTAAAATTGTTTTCAGTAGTTAAGTTAAAATGCAAAGTGCCTGTAAAGCTTCGTCCATAACCAAGTTGGCATATGACCACTTTTCTTATTTAAACATATGAAAATTGGGTACAAAATTTCATGTGACGATTGGATTTTCAATCATGCTATATAGTTGCACCTTGAATTACTCGGAAGCCATCAAATAAATTCTACTTGCACATTAAGTAAAAGTTGCTTTACAGGTAAAAATAACTTGAATATGCGTGGTTTAATATTAAGCTTTGGTAAAGGATTTGTCGCTATTTGTTGCTAGGTTATGATTAAATATTTGTTAACATTGTTGCAAAAATAAATCCTTGGCCTAATTGATTCAATAAATATAAATGTATTAATGATTTATGAAAACACGAATTCGTAACACAGCCATCAAGTGAGGTCACATAAATCCAATACTATAACTTAAAATTTTCTTTTTCTTGCCAATAATTTCAATGATTTTTAAGCTTGCTTTTATACCTCCGAAATTAATTTTGTGTTACACTATGGCTGTGATCATCACCAAACACGTGAATATCGTCACGATCTAATAATATGTTTATGAACAAATTCATAATAAGATGATTGAATTGATTTATTAAATTAATTACTTATGAAGTATTGTAGATAGGGTGATTATTATATATATATAAATATATAACGAGTTTTGTCAAGTTTTTATTAAAAAAAATTAAACTTCAATTTTTTTACCAAAAAAATTATTAAAAATATGGACAAAGATAGCATCGCAATCAAGGTTAGTTGTAACACTAATAATATAGAGACAGTTACTCGTAAAATTTCTATCGATAAAAACATAAAGTTGGAAGAATTGGAATACAAGGTATGAATAAAAACAATAACAAAATGATAGCGTATATATGTGTCATATATATTAATATATTATCATTATACAACAATTACACATTATAGATACGGGAACGTTTTAATATAAATTATGATAGAGGAATTGATATCTATTATATTGATGAAGAAAACGATCGTATTTATGTGACCCACGAAGATGAATTGTTGCTTGTTTTAAAAAGTCAGGAATCACCAAAATTTGATGTTGTTGTTAAATCTGTTAAATCAAAGGTAAAAAAAAAAAAATACAAATCATTGATTTATATATACATTCATATATATATTTGATTGATATTTTTGATAAAACAAAATCAATGTTTACTAATATTTATGTATTACACGTTACTGCTATTATTATTATTTATTATAGATTGTTGATGATTCGTTCAAATATCCATCAATTCCCAAATGTAAACTTGGAGATATTGTCGATGTATTGATTGAATCAAAATATTTAACTACTTCATACGTATCAAAGAGCGGTACAAAAGCTTGGGGAACTTATATTTTTACTGATGATTCAGATATTGTAAAAGGTATTTATTATCTATCTATAAACAATAATAGAAATGATAGATGGATGTTATAATTAATTTGTTCCAATTGATAGTGCTTGTAACTAATTTTTTCTAATTGTTTAATTTTTAAAGCTCTTGCACATTCTGAAAAAATAGAACTTGCAGATACTCCACCTTCACATAATGTAATTGCAACTATACGTTTTTTGCCTGGCTGTCTTGAATACGTTGGATCAACTAATCAAGGGATATCAACATTGGATTTCAATGAATACGACTTAAGTTACGTTATTGAAGGTGTTAGAACTGTTAGAAAATCTTCTAAAAGTTCAAGTGAAAAAAAATCTTATTATTAATTTAAAATATCAATATTTATTTTCTTTGCGCTTTTAGAAATAAAACCTAATTATTTATCTAGGATATGTTTATTTGGCAGTTCATTATATACATGACGTACATATATATATATATATATATATATATATATAACATAACGATTCTATTATAATTATTTAAATCAAATAAAGTTTATTTATTAAATTTCCTTTTCTCTTCAAATTAATAATAATTTTCTTCTAATTCCAATGTAATTAATAATTAATTAATTATTCTATCTTCCTTCATCACACGTACACACACTCACTACTCTCATTTAATAAAATTTGTCTTTTATAAAGTAAAAAAAGATGATTAATTATTAATGTGTTTTTAGTGAGAAATTTACAAATTAAAAAAAATTAAAAAAGTAATCCACATTTCAAAGAAAAAAGTAAAAAAAGAATATAGGAATATTGAATTTTTTTAAAAAAAAATTCTCAAGCAGTTGATTTTGATGGAGTTTTAGCGCCCTTGGTAGGTTTCTTTGGAGATGCGGTTGTTGTTCCAGATTTACTGGTTGTCTTTTCACCTTTCTTTTTAGGAAGTAATTCGACGTGAATGTTGGGTAAAACACCGCCTTCGGAAATATGGACATGCCTCAACAATATGTTTAATTCTTCGTCATTTCGTATAGCAAGTTGTAGATGCCGTGGGATGATTCTTTGTTTTTTGTTATCACGTGCTGCATTACCTGCCAATTCGAGGACTTCGGCTGTTAGATATTCTATGACAGCAGCCAAATAAATTGGTGCGCCTGCTCCAACACGATCTGCATAACGACCTTTTCTGAGAAGTCTTCCTATACGCCCAACGGGAAAAGTTAATCCTGAAGATAAATAATTATTTTGAGAGTGAGTAATGAATGTATCATTTTTATAAATATATATATATATATAACCAAATAAATAAACGCAAACGTAAAATGATGAATATACCTGCTTTAAGACTTTTTGAAGTTTTTGTTGTACCAGTTGAAACACCTTTGGAACCTTTAGTACTTTTCTATTTATTATATTATTTTTGAAATAATAAAATAATTTATTAAATTTATTTCCTTTTTTTCTCTCAAAAAAATGATAAAATTATAATTATTAATAACGGCCCACCTTAGCTTTTCCACCAGTACTAGATGCAGTGGCAACAACAGGCTCATCTGAACCAGCTGGAACACTATTATTATCTGAGGTTCTTGCACGAGAACTTCTTGCTTCTGGTTTTTCTGCTGTAGACATTTTTTTTCTTTTTTGTTTTAAATAAATTTATTTATTTTCTTCTTTAATAATAAAAATATATTTTAATCCGTGCGATATGTTGTTTATTAATAATGTTATTATTATCGCTTATTACTTACTATCTATCTATTGATGATTTTTATCCAGCTAAATGTAGTTGTTATGAATTTTTAATGGATGAAAATTTTTGTGTAAAAAGTGTAAAAAAAAAATATTTTCTAGTAATATTTTTATATTTATATATTAATTTTACTGTAACAAATAATAAATAAATATGCAATCATCATCACATAAACTATTATCATTACCAAATTTGACCTTTGAGGAATTCAAAAACTTGTAAATCCTTACCAATTCCGATTAACTCCTTGTCTAAACAAGTATGATTTTCAAATTTTAGAGGAAAAAAAATTATTTTAATGTTGTTGTTATTGTTATTGTTATTGTTTATATTTTTTTTTTTTGGAAACAATCTTATTCTATATTTTTACGCGTACGTGCTATATTATTGGAGAAAAAGCATCATTGGATCGCGCGAGAAAATCAACGCGTTCTAATTAGTGGAACAGTAGCATCATCATCATCACAGAACAAAATAAATTGACGAGAGGTTCATTAATAATTACTAACGATAATGTATTATAAAGATTCTTTTTATTATTCAAAGAAATGTTTGTGAGCTTTTTTGTTTTTACACACACATGGAATAGTTTAATTCCTTGTCAAGCCTTGCTTTATATACGGAACACCATCATCATTTGTTTTATATTAAATTTTGGGTTCTCACTAAATTTTATTAGCCTATTTCGTGTCAATGAATGATTATTAGTAATGAATTGATAATGAGCTAAATAGTAATGGTTATTGATCGAGTCTGTTGGATCTATAAAATATAATAAAGTTTCCATAATTATAGTCGGCTAATAATGAATCATTCATTCTGGAATTTCCCGTGTTGATGATAATGATTTGATAATGATTGTAATCATAAAACATAATATAACACCAATACATTTATTATATAGCAGATTCATTTATATTTCCTCCTACTTACTATCCCACTACTTACTGTTATAATTCTGAATAATTATCTTGATAATTAAAGCTTCTAATTGAGATCTTTACCCGAAATTCCATTAGCCAATTGAAAAATATCTTTATTTATAAGCGAAAAATAATTTTTTTTGTATTAAAAAAAAAAAAAACAGTTTAAATCGAATAATTGCGCGCAAAAAAAAGTCTTGAAAACTTTGAAAGGGAAGAAGCATAATTTTAAATCAAAACTTTAATCATTACGTTGAAAACTCGAGACAAAAAGATATTGGAGGATACAGATTTATCAATAACTTGTTCAAATGGCTTGACCTCTTCAAAAAAACCCCATAAATTTGTTTCATGAACTCTCCTCTCACTCAAATAACTTACTTACTATTATAGTTTGTGCTCGTCTGTCGTAATTAGTAATAACACTTATTCCCCTCTATTAGCGCTGTGAGTGTCATTTGCACCAATGTTTAATGATTAATAACGAACAGAATTCGCTTTATTTATATTTTTTTCGAATAAAAATAACACTGTGTGTATGTGTGTGTATGCATATCTATCTAGTTAGTTCTAATTAATTAGAATTTTGTTTTTTTCACCCAAAGAATTTCTCCTACGACTACTTTCTATACGGTCTGTGGAGAACAACCAACACCAATTGATCTTGGAGGTATCCCAAACATACATTCATTATGTAGTGTAACCAGATGGATGTTTCAGTAGTGGAACTATATTAGATATTAATATATCCAAATAAAATTTTATCAATTTGTTTGATCCAACAAACTCCCACAAGAATTCTGTTTGTAGTGTGTTATATCAGCCTATTAATATTAAAATCGTTGGCTAAATCTAAATGAGATATTAAATAAGTCCTAGAACTGGTTTATACACAAGAATATAAAGTTTATTATCTACCGCTTACGCTATCAGCTGTAAAGCATTAGCAATACTAGTACTAGAGTCAGAAAATACACTATTTTTATAAACAATTTTAATTATAATAAAATTTTGCCATCGTTTAATTATTTTTAAATAATTTATCACGTGATTTTTATTTTCTGCAAATGATTTTCTGTTTATGATAGGACCTCGCAAACTTCATAGATAAGTTACTGCTGCATCTGGGTCAAATTCATATTTAATAATAAATTAAATTTTTTGTCAATGATTCTAATAAGGTCAAATTATTTATAAATTAAAAATTTTACAAATGTCAAATCTATTATTATTCAACTTCCCAAAATCGTGTAACAAAAATTTTTTCTTACGTGCTTATTCTTTATAGTAAATTATAAAAATTAGTGAATTATTATCAGTTAAATCAATTGATTGGTAAAGTTATTTTTGTTACATTAGACGTTTCAAAATTTTTAATTTTAGTGTATATATTATGGGTTCTTTTTTCTAATGTTATTGCAAACCTTAGGGTCAAGTTCTTAATTTTGGTCGGGTCAAATCATATAACAAACAAGAATTTTTGTTACTAACCTATCTATGAAGTTTGCAAGGTCCTCATCTGATACTGTAAGTTTTGAAAAGGTAAGAGTAGTTTTGCCTTGTATTTAAAGTCTGAATTGCAAGTATTAATCAACTTACATATTAGAAATAAGGTATGTTTCTCTTTTTAATAAAAAAATTTCGTTCCACCACATAAAAAATTTTTTAAATGGCTTGTTTTTTGTAAATCACATGTCCAAAACATTCATAAATACCTATAACTTTAGTATCATTTGCCTATCTTCCACCTATAATAATAACTATAATTCTACATCAGATAATAAGGTAATGTATGCATGTTCATAAATTAGAAACGTTGTGTTGATTACAGATGTTTCAGATCTGCTGCATTCAGAGATTAAATGATTGTGAAGCAGAGAGACCCTTGGTCAATTAAAATGCTATTCCACTAAAAAATTTTTTTTTCTTTATCGTCATTTACAACTGCACAACACTTTCTCTATAATTGGTGGTTGTAACACTCGTTGATTTCAGAACTGTTTCATTTATATCTTTATGTAGTTTGATAAATAAATATTCCTTTTAAAAACCATTTTATGATGAGAAAATTTAAAAGATATTATCAAAAACTAGGCTTCGTATGTGTAATTTCATTATGCGCGTTTTTGGTAATTAGAAAGAATAAGTATCCCGATACTTTGGTTGGTTTTAACATATTAAATTATTAAATCCGTCAACTGTTTTTCAATAAAGTATGATATTTGAAACCACTGTCAAGTTATAATTTATATATAATAAAAAATTTTCTCAAAATATCCTTTGGTAAATAAAAAAAATAAAGAATGTAATTTTTTTAGATCATGATATTATAAACAGTCTTGATAAGTGCTTATATTGTTAAATTACCAATATTAACATTATTTAGCTAATAATTACGAAAATTTAGATCTATCTATTTCAGGGCATTCTTATGCTGCCTAGACGCGTTTAAACATAACAATTAGGTTCAATTATCTGTCGAAAAATTTTGGATTGACTTTTAAAGTTAATTGTGAATAAAATATAAAACTTGAGTATTTTTATTATGATTGTTTTTCGGTGATCTGACAATAATAGTAATGATGTATTTATAAAATGAAAGAAATAATGACCAATAAATCGAAATAATTCTTAAATAATACAAATCATATAATTAAATAATTCCTAATACAATGTATATAAAATACAAAAATTTATTATTTAAAAAATATTATCTTATTGTAATTATGGTCCTCCTCCAGTGGAATTGGAATTCTTCTCCTTTGATATAATTTTACAATTACCAATTACAAATGTTGATATTACAACCAATGTTATTCCAACTAAATTGCAACTACTATTATATTATTGATACTTGAATAATGTTTTGTAGTGATGATGTTGTTGTTGATGATATCTGATGATGATAATGATGACAATTGTGATGATGATGGATGGTGGTGGTGATGACGGCGGCGGTCAGATGTTGAATAACTTGTTTTCCAGCTATAATCTTTAATATCCAGTATATAAGTGTTTGCACTAGTTGATATTGACTTGACTCATTATTTGTGATATTCCCTATATATAGATGTAATTTATTAATTAATTATCAATTGATTTTATAAAAATAATTTTAAAAATAAAAAATACCAAAACTTATTGTCATTTGATTTCCAATTAAATTGGCTGAATGCAATGTTAGAAGTGAAGCACAGACCATTGGAAAGGATTTGCGGTCGTATCAAGAACAATAATTTCAGGATGTGGTGTTGGTTCTCTACTAAACACCATAAACAATCATCCTTCCATCCTTTGCTATACAAAATTTACATTTACAGTATAGTATATACATAATTTTAATAATTTTTGTATAATTATTTTTTTAAAATTCAAAAATTGATTACAAAGTACAGCTGAATGGCTACTTACGAGGTTGGATATATGATGGACCATCTGCTGTCTAAATTTTCCATCCAGTTGTAAAAATAAAAATAAAAATAATTTAAACCAATCTGTCTTTTTTCCTGTAAAAATTGATAAATTTCATATTTTTAATTAATTAAATATTTACCATAATCGACCAAGTTGAAAAGTCTTTATATCAAAAATTTTTATCTATAAAATAATTACATGCGTATTAAAAAAAAAAAACTGAAATTATATAATTAAAATCCCCATATAAATAAATAAATAAATAAATAAATAAATAAATGTGTACTTTATAAATTTCAGCTTCATAAATATTTGTGCTTGCAGCATCACTTGCTTCGCATCAACCATCAGGCAATAAGGTTGAAGTATGGTCAGTACTTGGTTTTTGTAGATTTTTAGTGATGACTTTATGTCAAATCAAGTCTTTTGTATCCAAAGTGTGGATATCATTAAAATATTTACTACTAGTAGATCCGGTAACTTCAGATGCTACTCCACCAAAAATATACAATTTTCCTTTATCATCCATCACCATACTACTT